CCTCTAGTCTAAATTATGGACGGCTAGCGCAGATAGCCCTCGTGTAGCTTTGCGCGAAATTCAAAAACAAAACAACCATCCAATGCGTAAAGAATTTTAAAAGGAAAGAAAACAGTAAAAGAGGTTGTTGTATCCAGTCAAATTCAAGTTAACTTGTTCCTTAATAGCGGAGTTTTTCGTATTTCGTATATTATGAAGTTTAATAACTAGAAGATGAACGACTTTGGAAATAAAATAGCGAATCACCTAAATGTCTTTGTTTTAGTAAAGAGAAACGTCAGATGAGACAATACTACCATGATTTTAGTACAAACACGAGATGTGTGTTTAATCTACGAAGTAAGTTAACTGATATTAAATTCTATGAAGGTTAACACAGAATTCTAATAATGTTACATGTTTTGTGTAAAGTTTAAAATTTGGGGTTAATCTAGATGCAGAAAACTTTGATTTTATAAGTGTTGGTTGGGCATTCAGAACATTTATATATCATTCAACATAATATACATATTCATCTTTTTTTAAATCCTATTTAGAGGAACGCTTAATGTGACGTAAAATAAAGTACGAAGACGTCTGTCTAGAAATTACAAAATACAATATGCCATAATGAAGTTTTCCTTAAGTTTGTTTGTTTTATAATTAAGCACAAAGCTGCTCAATGGACTATCTGTGCTATGCCCACCACGGGTATCAAAACCCGGTTGCTAGCGTTGTAAGTCCGCAGACACGCTGCTGTGCCACTGGGGACATTTTCCTTAAGCTAAGATTTTTCTCATCATGGCGCTACCTAATAGTTGTATTCAAGGTAAAAATAAAATAATATTTTCGCAATAAGATGTTTCACTGATAAATGTTTTCTAAACTGACATTCATAAAAGCGATGAGACTTCTTGCTTACGGTTTCTTAGAAAGAGAAGGCGAGAGTATTCACACTTTTGAACATAGATCATGCTAAATGCTTTGGATAATGTAAATTCACACCCACCACTGTTTGTATTGCTTAAATAATAAAAACATCAAAAACATTTAAGAAACGAATTGCCTGTTTACCATTCTTGTTTAATCACACGAGAAAAAAATTGTTCAAGATTTTATTTTCTAGTAGATCATGTTCCTTCTGTGGGTTTTAAAAGTTAGTTCGCTGTCACGCACGTACGCACCTATTAATATGTTAATCAGACCACCATACACTAGACTAAGAAACATTAGTTTTAAGTTTCTAAGATAAGCCTTAATACGGTATTAACGTGAAATACTCTCGAGGAACAAATATAACTAATAGAAATGTAAATACACATATAGAACTGTTCGCCACATGCAGAACTTTTTGCAACAACGAATGAAGTGAAAATGTGCATATTTATATGAATGTTACTGTCAATATATACACGGACAATGGCCTGATATTCATATGAATATTACTGTTATTACATACATGGACATTGGCCTGAAAGGGGTCAGAGTAAGTTCGATATACTCCGACCCTCATGCACTAATAATATTCTATTTCCAGAAACCATCACCATCTACAAGAAGGGAGGAAAAGATCATTTGAACCCGACCCTCCCAGGTTATCAAGACCTAAACCCCGACAATGTAGCGATACGTACGCGGAGTGGGGAGGTTCTCCCAAACCCCTTATTTTTGTGATATAAAGAAAAATATGCTTCATAAAAGTAATTGTAACACCATTTCTGTGATCTCGAATAAAGTAGGTGTGAAATAGATTATGCATTTAAATACAAGTTCTTGGTTGAATTTATTAGTTCAAGCCCTATATTCAATTTTTATACTCCTGGATATAGGCCTGGTGCCCGAGCTTGCATGGTAATAAATATTATTGTTATGGGAGTAATCTGTGTATTTACAGAACTGTATTTCTAACACTAAATAATTTTATGGTTAAAATTGGTTATGAATGTACCATTCTGATCTGTGTACATTTTTAGATTATCATTCAAACTTCTGCACATTTGAGTGTTAATTGCAACAAAGAAATGACTTTAAAAACCCTCAAAAATGAAGTTCAAAATGTTCTTGAATGTAAGATTGATGAAACTTTTTTGCAGTATGTTACTTAGAAATATCAATCAACTTGTGTTCAGTTTCTTTCTTGAGTTCTACTTTCTAGTATCAAAAATCTGGAGTACATCACTTAAAAAATGATGATGTTACAAAATTCCATCAGTAAGTTGAAATGTAACCAGCATCACAAATAATACTTTTTTTTTTTACCTAAAAATAAAAGATTTAAGAAAACTTTGATTTCCTTTAGATTCTAATTAAAACTGTGATAATTACATAACACATACCTGCAATGGTTTTATTGTTTTGATATTTTTACAAGTTCTAAAGTAATTCCTGTATGCTCAATCCGAAAATGATATCCATTTTTCTACATCACGTACAGATTTTTCATGAAATGTCATAATGCAATACATAAAAGAAAGACTACAACATTTAGTTTTGAGACTAATATTCGTTTGACATCAATGTTCTTCCCCTTTCTTCAGTTTGTATTTTTGTTAACAAAAATAATAATAATAAATGTTCATTGTGGTAAACGAAATAATATTTTGATCTAAGTAAGTGTTTTTTTCTTCCCGATTTGTAAAAAATCCTTACATGATACAAAAAAAATGAATATCATTTTCAAAATCTGCGTAGTTGAATTATGGAAAATCCGTTATTAAAACCAAAACAACTTTTATGAAGTTTAAATTTTCAGGGCTGTGTAATGTATAAGATATGTCTCCAGTTAATTTATTACAAGTACTAAAAACATTTTGTAAATGTAAAATAATGTAGGAATGGCAGTGCCAAAAATAATGCAGACAAGAATATAGAGATGATACAGCTAGATATATCATCCATACATGACTTTCAATATTAAAATTTAATGTTACACTGTAAAATGCTCGAGTACAAAAGGTTATTCGACCAACCTCATAACAAGAGTCTATAATAATTAAGACATGTTTTGATTGAACTTGGTTTCCCTTTACAAAAGTTCTAGGCTCTTAGTTACACAACATTGATGACTACCCTGACATGACCATGATATGATAAACAAACTGCATACCATCAGTCAGGAATGTATAACTTCCAACTGCAGTAATATTAAAGTCAAGTATGCATTTTACAGATTAACATTAAATTTTAACAATGAAAGTCATGTAGGAATGATCTATGTACAGCAATATCATCCCTATATTCTTATTTGCATTCTTTTTGGCACTGCCATCCCTACATCATTTTATATTTACAAAATGTTTTTATTACTTGTTTTGTGACATTTTCCCCCTGACTTAAAGTTAGTGTGTTCTATGAATGTGTGTGTAATAAACTTTAATATTGTGTGTATTGATTTTTTTTACTCCTTCACTTCATACATAATATAGGGGTTGGCTCCCTAAAGACACCGACTGTATAGTGTACAAAGCATTGAGTATTCTACATGTTACAGTCGTCTAATGTTCATCTATTATTGGCTGGTAATTCCTGTTTCAACTTGTACTTAAGCTTTCTAAAGGAACACTATATTTCTATAAGAAAGCTAACTTCAAGTGTAACGATAATATCGTTTACACTGGAATTTTGATTTTTTTTATAACCCTTAATCATCCACGGAAGGGTTTTTTTGCCATTACTGTAGTTGGTGTAAATGTATGGATGGGGATGATATCTAGCATGAATAAATGTACAGGTGGAGATGATAGTGGATTAATAACTACTAGTTATTATGACTAAGCAATGATATCGTGCACTGCCCAGAAACACATAAGAGTGGATTTAGGTTTAAACTGACATTAGTGAAAAAGTAGTTGTAGAGTTATCTTGACTGAAACAAGAAGAAGAAGGATGAACGATCTGGTGGGTTGGTCACTTTCTGGTTTGGTGTTTTAGCAATGGTTTCTTGCATTATTTCTGGGCTTGTTGGGTAGAGAAACAAATGAAAGTGAGTGGCAATCATCTTTTAAAGTAAATTTGATTGTTGATTTTTGTGTGTGCATGTTTATATTATACCTATTGAGTACCTAGACCATCCCTACATATAAAGTCTACAAACTCTATGATACAGCTTCTATAAAAAATTATCTCATATCTGTATTTTTTACCTTCTTAGAATGACATATATTGGCTGTTTTTGAGTGATAACAGCAAAAAGTATATAATAAAACCCATCAGGTGTTTTATGTTTTTTAACATTTTCATTCCTCATCAATTTTTTACATTTTTGATAGACTTCAATAAATTTGTACCTTCTGAAAAACATTTAAATTTTCTCAGAATTACTATATTTCATTGTCATACTTCACGTTGTCAACATCCAGATATTTAGTATATTTTAACTTATTCTCCATTCATTTCAGTTTTAAACTGAAAATCGTCCTGTATAAGTATTGTAGTTTCCTGGTTAATTATTTTATTAATCTCCATATCATTACTTTACTAAAAGTGTTTAACTACTGTAATACGTATTGCTTGTTGTATACAAACTTTCTTTTTTAACAATATTGTAATACAGTAAAACAGTACAACTAGAATCATACTGTTGTTTTAGGATAAATAACTGATGCGCTTCATGCTTAAAAATAATAATTAAATGAAAGCATGACAAAGACCTGCAATTATATGCTGCAATATATTCACTATTTCTTTTATGATGTGCAAACAAGACACATTAGTATTCCAGCTGATACCAAGTATTAAATTAAAAACTTTAAACAGGATCTTTTCTGAAATAAGTATTAAAGGAGAAAAAAATGTTTATTTTTACAAAAAAAGAAAAAAAAAAGAGAAAATATACATAGAAATATGCAATGTACTTGTATATATGTCTTAAAAAGAATTAACGAGTAATTTTAATTAAGTACAGAAATATTTACTTAGTCACAATGGACTTCTAATTCAGTACAGAAATGTGATCTTTGCAAATGGAAATTATCTGTACAATCATATTTTAGGTCTTATGGTAATTTATTGTTTGTATTATAAAGATTACATTTACAAACAGGATCAATCTTCTCCAACTGGCATTGCGTCTTCTAGTCTCTTGAGAAATTTGACTCTTAATTCTGTGCACGAGTCTCCTGCCAATTGATCTTGGACAAACCAGGCAGCCACTTCTAACTGTACCTAAATATAACAAGAAGGAGGATCATGCCATTTAAAGTCTTAATATTCTACTGTGCTGAAAACAAAGGATCTAGAATATTCATACTGTCTTAGCATCATGAAGAGAAATTTAATAACACTGAAAATGTTTTATGGTTAAAATAATGAAATACCAAACTTAACATAGGAAGGAATGTGTGTGTAAGTTAGACAACTGAAGTCCAAAATTTAGGAATGGAAAAAAATCATAACTTTGTTGCTAAACTGTAATGAATAATACACATTGTTCTAGTGAATGATACAATTAAAATATGATTCTGGTTTATTGCAAACATTACCAGTGTACTTCAATATACATGAAAGATTCATTGACTACTGGCCTTATATAGCTGTGTAAACCAAGATATAACATATTAAACTACACCTGGTGTTTGCTTTTTGGCCAAATATTTGCTAAGTTCCCCCAGTGAGACATAAAATGGTTTAACTAACAATGTATTTGAAAAAAGAAAATAAAGCCCACTTATCAAAATAAGCTAGTCTTAATACAAATTTACAATCTTGAATTCTGTTTCTTAACTAATATTGGTAAATCCCATATATGAAAATACTTACAAATAATTCCTTAGATATCAATTTGATATATATATCTATATTAGATTTAAAAAAAAAGCAATGTTCTTTAGAAATAAAACAGGAATCTAAGGTTTATAATTTGTGACTTTGAGTTTACTTGAAAACAAGGTTTATAATACAATGTAACCTTAATTACTGAACTTGGACTCACTGAGTTTAATATTAATACAACTTTAGGAATAACTGAGTTTAATATACAACTCAGACAACAGGATTATAACTTAATACAACCTTATTTTATTTACATGCATTGGTTGAATAAACTTAACAAAAATGTTCAATGAATAAGGATTTGAGTCATCAAAATATTTTGCCATTGCCTATGTTATTCTTTAAACCTGACTAGATTTTCTCAGTGTCTTGTAATAGAAGATTATATTCCTAACTTTCAAGCAAATATAACTTAACAAAAATCATTTTCAAAAACAAAATGAGCCCTCTAAGTTAACTATGACAAAACTACAAGAACTATGGTTTCTTCTAAACTTCCCATTAGATTCCATTATTCTTCTCTGCATCTAAATCACTTTTCCATGATTTATAATTTGTTCTATTCAATACTATTGAAACTTAAATTCTGCTCTATCCAATATTATTTAAACTTTGTCTGTAGCTTGTTTCAAAATCGATGTTGAGAACATGTTCTGTAAGATCGTAAAAGGGGAAGAACCATAGGCTGTACTAATAAAATCAGTGAAATAGAAAGAAAATCATGCAAGAAAGAATATATGGATAATTATATTCTCAAGGGTTGAAAATGCTTTGCTTTGGTATGGGTAAAAAAGCCTAAAAAAATTAACAAGTGCTTTATTTAAAGGAAAAATTAATTAAACTGCATAAAAGTGCAAGTTCTAAATTTTCTTTTTTTTGTTAATTACATTAAGTAAATGTTATAAAATGACAAAATAACAATTCTAAAATATGTTTGAGTTATAAATTGCTGAAAAAGCATTAGGGTTATTATTTTTTACTTACATTTTGAAATTTGATATGCATGTATGCACTCAAAATCTGAAAGGTGTTCTCTGGTCTGAATAGGGTCAATGAAATCATAAACCATATCTTTTCTTATGCCTGCTTAAGTAAGGGGCCACTTCTTAATTAGGTTTTATTCATGTAATTGTTTCTTCAAAGTTTTTGATTTTTCAATAAAGGAAGACAAAACATTACTTGCATCAGTGGTAACTTCATAAAATTACCATTTCTAATGCTCCCCTCAATACTCCAGCCAAAATATTTGAATATTTTAATCCACCGTGTCCTTCTGGTAGCTCCACAAACTCTGTAAGAGGGTTATTCTCAAGGATTAGGGAAAATTCATCTCCAGCTGGACTCCAATTTGTAACTGATGGAGTGATGCTAAGATACATCTTAAACGCCATCTGGCAATACAAAAAAATCTTTTAGTTCTGTTTCATTAAAAAGGTTCTTTTATCATTTCTACTATAAATTTTCTTAAACTGCCAAGAATATATTTATTCCCAGGAACAAGAAGTATTTGTTAGAAATAACCTCGTGAGTTGTTGTACATCAGTTGTATTACATCTCTGAATTTTTAAGGAGCAGTACTGACTTCAACTTTCCTTCACAGGAGTGGGTGGGTGGATGGTTGGACAATGAGACATATAATTGGGCCAAATATAAAATTAGATTAATAGATGGCATTAGCTTTACGGAGGGTTACCCCTACAAGTGCCAGCCCTGAGAGTTATATACTTCAATATCCATGTGGATCTTAAGTAGTTCTTTAAGCAAACAATATTACAGTCCTTTCAGAGTATTACTGAAAGAAACCAATACAGGGAAAAGAATCCCAACACACTACATACACATTAACCATGTTATTTTAAATTTTAAAATAATTTGTGACACCTATTCTCAATATTTAGCCATACAATTTAATCCAATGGCTTAAAAGCATTAAATCTTTATATATGAAATACAAACAAATGTTTGTTATATCTCTATTAACACGTCTCTCAGGAGCCAAGGGGTGTATTTACACTACAATTTGTTGAATATTAAAAGTAAATTCAATCCTGAAACTCCCAAAGAGGGTAGCTTTGGATGTATCTTTGAGACAAGTTTTTTGTTTGTTAATTGATAAATTGTTAAGTGAAATACAGCATCCTCAAGTCTCCGTACTAGCTAGTATTAAGGTCTACTTGCTGGGAGTAAATTCAGTATATAAATTTATAAAGAAAGCCATATTCTCAGCATCATTACTTAAGCAAACACCAACCTTTTATGCTTTTGCTATCACCTTTTATGTTTAGCCTTCACTTGAGATAAACGATTTCACTTGCAATTTGGTAGGGAAGGTCAAAGCATCACGATAGTCAGCAGTGGGATGAACAGACATGAACACTTTGAAAGCAGCTAGAGGCATAATATTGTACTCAGCTTGCTGCTTAATATCTACCAAGGTGGTTCTAAATGACTCCTGAATACCTCTGCATATCAGTTGCAGACTTCCATGCTTCTTGTGCTTGGCCATTAAGCTCATGATGTGCTGACGGATTTCAGTCACCTTACCACTTCAAATCATTTTTTTGCAGCCCCAATGTTAAAAGAGTGTAAGAAATCCCTTCTTTTTAGCCAATAAAAATGTCCAAAAAATTTCAGTTCAAATTAAGAAAAACCAGATTGGGTAGTTGTTTTTTCAACAAAAATGTCTCTCACTGACTCGTGAGAGGCCTGTTAAAATAAAAAAGTCTGTAAACCTAACAATACAAACTTACACACATTTTACGAATGGCTGGGGTATTACAACTGCAAACAATATGAACTACGAAGTAGTTAATACAACATTTTATTTCCTTAATATTCGTTTTTGCCATCACATATTTATTTACTGTTTAATTGAAGAGTACAGGAAGGGTTATTAAGGAGAAAACTGTCAGCCAATGAAACAAAATTATGGTAATCTGTATAAAGATTAAAGTGTTTAAAATCAGTTTATTATATAACAAATAGCAAAAACCTGCAATTTATCAGCTGTATCTCTGAGATCGTAGCATCTTCCAGAACCAGTACGAGCTAGGTAGTCCTCAATAAGTCGAACACCAATATTGTAACCCCTGCAGGATTATAAAAGACATTAAACAGGTAAAACACACACACAAAACACTGCTTTTTCACTCCATACACAAATGATACTTTACATTTACAAGAACACTTATTTTTATATGTTTACTTTGTAGACTCATTTCAAACTTTTTGTAATTCATCATATCCTTAATCTTTAAATTTCTACAATCATGAAATATTCACTTAGATTACAGCAATACATGTAAAATGAAAATAACAAAGGTTAAAGATTAGTGAAAATTAAATAGTGTCTGCTTCCTTTACATGCTGGCCTAAAATTTTAATATTGGTTTAACAATAGAAAATTTACAAATATTAAGTAAAACTTTTGATAAATTCATCTAGTATGTGTTTGCACACTTCACTAAATTAAAATGCTAATTCTGCAAACCATCTTCCTACTAAGTAGTTCTAAAATTAGAAAAAAAAAAAGTTAAACATAAGTTACCGATAGAGGCCATTTTGTAAACTAGCAAATAATTGTAGATTTTGATTACACTTTCAAAGAAATTACTTCTACACAGGAACTTTCCTTATTTATATTCTTCCTTCTTAAATTTACTTAGCTGTCACATAGTTTACTAGTGTGTTCTTAGTCAGTTGTTTTAAGGTAAACCTATCTAGAATTTCCTGTATTTTGTTCTAGTACATAAATTTTTAACTTAATATTACTAATTCTTTACTCAAATTGTTTTTATTAGTATTTCTGTTTTAAAGAGGTTAGGTTTTTACCTGAAAAACCTTTCTTTAAGATATTTCATTTTTCCAACAAACAGGTGGTTCACAGACATTTCACCTAACTTTTATTGTTTTTCTGGCTTTTATATTAATTTTTTTCTACAACTGTGTTAATTGTTATTTTCACAATCCTTGAATAGTTGGTACATAACCTTTCCCATCATTATACCTTCTACATTTCTCCAGCCTACAGTATTTAAGCAATCACCACAGTCATTATAATCTCTTTCTTATCTATTACCAAAAAACCATGAGAGTGAGGTACACAGTCAGTTTTTTTTGTGTAAAAATCAAAGTGGTGGTTAGTTCATGATTAACATTTGAATTTTCACTTAGTGTTTGTTTTTCAGTCTGTGTCTCCATAAAACTTAATAAATCATGTTAGGTTAGGCCACTACACATTTTTGATTAGATCATGGGTTCTCAAAAATTTTTGGTCCAGGACTACACTTTCATGATAGTAAACATTTAAGACTCCTCATCTGACAAGAAACTAGAAAGCAACAGAGAATAACTACTGGTCTAAAAACTTTAATAGAATGATGCATTTATACATAAATTATTTTTAAACTATTCCATAATTTTTAAACATTCAATCACAAAACATGTAAAATACTACAAAAAAGAGGACCAGTGTTTAGCATGCTTTGATTGTACTGATGAGGGTTTATGGTTTGTGTCCCATTGTCACAATGAGACACTTTGTACTTTGTCTATGTGGGTGTGTTGTAAGAGTAAGTCAAATTCCACTGTTCATTCAAGATCTGACAGTAAGTCTTGTTCACTAGCTGCTTTCCCACTAATCTATCACTTCAAAATTATAGACATCTATGCATTGATAGCTTTTCTGTAAAATTTTGAAACAAACTAAAAAGGAAAAAAACGGAAATGCTTTCCCCATTTCACAATCAAACAGCAAAGAGACTGAAAAGATGAAGCATCTCTCTTTCAATACATTAGTCCTGAAAAACTAATAATTCACATACATTTGTTATATTTTTTCAACTCCTTTGTCAACCCCTATGGAACATTTCACACCACTGTTTGAAAACACTTGGACTGACCAATAAGAGTAACTAAGTAAACACATTTTGTCAATATTTACTATACAACACTAATATACTCAACTTAGCCAACCTTTGAAACCTTTACTGTTCATAATATAATTAACTGAGATTGTTTACATTCATTGATCACCTGTAATGTTGCCTTGGTTAACTTACTCCTTTCTTAATAAAAGTAATTTGAAATGTTTATGCTGTGAAATGTACATGTTTCTTTGGGAAAGTTTCTGTAAAAAAAGTACATTGCTTTGAATGCTCTGTTCGGTCTACCCTGTCTGACATCTATTGTGCTAATTTAATACATCTGACAATTAAATGTATTTGCACAATTAAACTAGAGTGGCATTCAGTAGAGCACATACCTCCACCACCTAGAGTTTATCATATTTGGCTCTCAAAAAATACAAAAATGTATCCGTATATCTGTCATTATCAACAGACGTGAACCATTTTTGGCAGGACAATAAGGAATAATATTCTACATCTGTCCACTAAGTTTCATCAAATTATGATCATTGACTGAGTAACTGAGAAAAAAATAGTGTGAAAAATCGGTCCTCATGTCAACAGATAGGGATTTTTTTTATTTTCATAACCTTGCTAACAGTACAGTGTGTATATGGGAGGATCTCTTTCCAAAACAATGTGGACCTATTCTTCTATAAAAATATTTCAAGTGATTTAACTTAGCATAAATGAAACTTGTAAAATGAAAATATTCAAAAGTTAAGATGAGCTTAAATTACTTCATAGTAATAAGGTGGTGAGATATAAATGAATTTTTAGAACATTGGGCTACTATGCCCCTGCTATAACCCCTAGTACAACCACTCTTACCATTAAGCATGAAAAAAATGATGCATCAATCCTACCTATTCCCTTTATAATATTGAAATATTCAATCAGATTTCCTCTAATACTTCTTTTCTCACGAGAAAATAGTTCTAAAAATCTTAATCTATCCTTGTAATGAATAAAAACCCTATAACCCGAGAATTTTCTAAAAGTCCACCTTTGGAAATCTCTCGGGTTATAGGGTTTTTATTCATTTCTAACACGATTTCTTGACCCTACGTGTTTTTCTAACATCATGAATCTATCCTTGTAATGATAGCCCCCCATCCCAACAATTATTCTAGTACTAGTAGTAGCCCTCTTTAAACCCTATGCTAAATTCCTGGCAGTACTATATTTACAAACTTAAAACTAATTTATCCTTAAATTTTTATCTTACAAGTCTCCTCAATCATCTTTATGAAACATTTATAAACCTTTTATTAGATTTAATATTTACTAGTCTTACAAAAAAAAAAAAAACTTTTGAATATTAAAGGGAAAATTCACTTACATACGATCCAGTTGTCTGTTCACTTCATCATCATTTTCATAATCTTTCAAAATTTGTGCTACCAATGCTCCATAAGTTAAAGTAAATAGCTCCGAGTTCTACATATACCATGTAAAAGATCAAATAAATTAATGTAAAGAAACTACTATGGATCCAAACAAAGAACTTTAATCTTAATTTTTTATTTAAATTTTATAATAAATTCTTACTTTATTAAAACCTTTCACACCAAACTTAAATTTGAATACAACAACAGAAGAAATATAAGGATAAAACAGCCAAATGAAAAATAATGTGAAAAAGAATCAGTACTGAAAAGTATTGATATTAATGAAAAAACGAATTTTTTAAAACTAGTAAATGTAAAAATAAAAAAGAAGGTAACTTGGGAAGAAAATCTGTTTTTTCTTTGAAATTAACCAGACAGCAGAGGTGAAAATTTTTATAAACATCAAGACAAAGAAACAGTCACTCACAGAATGTCTCAGAATAAAATACAAGATGGAATCAGTAAAGAGATGGCTATGAGCAAAAAGTTTGTACTTGAAAAAAACTCAGAACCATTTTATGAGTCACTATGCTGCTGCTAAAAACCAAAGTTGAGTCAGCCAAAGAGTCAGAAATAAAAATTGGATCAAGGAATAGGAAGACTGCAAGGAAACCTCAGTCCTTCCCAAGTAGAGACGGATAATAACTAGCTTTGAAGATGTAAAGAATTTAATGGTATAATAAATCAAAAAACTATCTATAAGTGGGGTATTATTCTCCACATAGGTGGCTAGTACACACCTGTTTATTAATTTGTATAACATTCACTAGCCTGTGATGTTCAATACACTACACTGTAAATATATGAATGCTTATTTGTGTGTGTGTATATATGTTTATGTGCTGGTAAGCAAATGACTAGTATATTATGTGGTAAGCAGTTCCATTTTTTCTATATAGTTATGTTTCACTAGATCTTACTGGTTACAATGTTTAATTAACTGTTCAATTATTATTATACTTACAAATATTATTTGACACTTTTAGTTTCTTGTACAAAGTTAGTTCAAACCTATATGTCCTAAACTAACAAAGCCATGTAAGATATTAAATGGGATTATGACAAAATACTCAACTTTATATACTTCAATATAATCTAATCACTATACATGTAGGCTTTAGGTTTCCATTGTGCTGATTTTATTTTATTTTTTTCAGTATCCTAGTTAGTTTTTATACAGGAGTAGGGGTTTGACACAAGACAAGACCAAACAGATAGCCACACAGGAGGTGTGCATTCAAGATTTCTCTAGTGACCAGGGAATTAAAAACTTATGAAATTCTAAAACAGCTCTCCTGTAAAATATGGTTTACATCTGTGAAGATATGCAATTCCACCTACAGGAGAATATGAGAAACTGCAAGAGTGCTCAGCAACTACAAATATTTACTAGACATTTTCTTCTATTTGGCTATCGTTGTTTGCAAAGAATACACCCAAGGATCAGGGGCATCATGGAGCTAATTTTTTTGGAGGGCACATTCAGAAAATAAAGTACTTTGTTATGAGTGGTGGGTTAATAATTAATAATCATGCAAATAATAATAAGGGGGGGGGGGTATATTTTACATTTCATATTATTAAATTTTCATTTGTTACTTTGATTACTGGTTTTCCATAACAGACGAATATTTTGAATATATCTAATCAAATGTTTATACATGAATTTGGAGTTTTAGGAGTATGTGGAAGGCATTGAGGGAAAGGGGCATGACACCACTGCTACAGATAACTCAAAGAAACGAGGCAATACAGAAATGTGAGTAAAAACCCTCAGATGTCAACTCAAACAGACTAGTCTGTGAAAAGTGAAGGGTGACTGAGGAAAGCTGATTTCCATCTGAATAAACCACAATTCAAGCAGTTATTTGATTAGAACTTAGAAGTGGAAATCAGTTCTCATAACATGAATCAACTCTACAACTAAAAGCTTTGACTGTCCACGTGGATGCATGAACACATTATTATTTTACTGTAACTATATGGGTTTGAATTAAATAAAAGTTTATGGCATGGTTAAAGGTATACTGCATTAGGGGTGTAATGGTTTTATATACTTGAGTTAATGCACGCCACACTGTTTACTATGGCAATAAATTTTTTAAACAACTTCTGATGTAACTATACAGTAAACTACATCTACTAGTACTACTCCCACTGAGGTTTAGTAGTAGTACTAACGCAAATACCAAGTTAGCATTCATAATTCATAAACACTGCCTATGACAGAAACCTACTCACGCAATTTACCAAAAAACAGCCTCACTTCTTTCTTTCTTTTGTTATAAACTAACCCAAGTAATCTATACTTTTGATACTATTTTTAAAACTCGAGTATTGATCAATAATTACTTAGGTGTTGATCCACCCATCATTACTACTACTACTAATACTAGTACTTTTTATTACTATTAGAATTATTAAACAAATTAAATACATTTCCTGCTTGCAATGTTGCATTTGCCGAAAATTAAGATTTGTTTATACTTACAACTTTTTTTGGATCAGTGCTTCTCATTCCTTGCCTAGACATTTCTAAATGTGTTTTAATTTACTTTTGCTAACTTAGCATATACGTTTTTCTGTCACAACTATTCTACTACAACAATTAGTTCTTCTCCAAACACTACACTACCAAAATCACTAGAGATAATACATATTCGATAACCCAATCATGAGTTATGGAAAATCAAATCAGCCAATTTGACTTAAAACTGCTACAAAACCACGTATATTGTATTTTTTTCTTCCTTACACATTCCTATTACTCTATTCATTTCGAAATCAAAGGCGTATTAAAAAATAACACTTCAGAGTTATATTTTGTTTGCTAGAAGTCAGGTATCATTTCGGATTCAAAATCAAAAACTGAGTGCACACAGGTTTTGATACTCATGGTGTTCACATTAAAGATAGCGCATTGTGTAGCTTTTTGCTTAAAAAGACAAACAAACAATCTTTTGTCTCCCACAGGTTATTGTCCAAGAGTATTTTCGTTTAATTACAACGTGTAAGTTGGGCTGAACAATGAGAAACAAGAGTTTTTCTTAAACACTGTTTATGTTTCAGCGTACAAATCGTAACTTTTAGAGCATAAAACTGCATATATAAATAACTGTAATACTGCACATTGTGCAAGGATTTCGACTGCCGTGCCTTGAGTTTATAACATTCCTTAAGTTTCAGTGAGATTGAGCGGCATATGTGGTGCAAGCGTCCTAAGAATATAACAATATAGAATTTGGTATATAGTAATATAATTTCTCAAATGACTCTCTATCAAACCTTAAACCTTCAGTCTGGTAAGTGAAAATTAACTTCTTTCTGTAAAATAGTAATAGTATCCTAAAGTTTGATCTATAGGATTAACTAGTTCTTTATAAGTTGTTAGGAGAGTTTAGAGAAGACACCTATTTAGTAAAGATGCTTTACTTCGTCTAATATACACATAGTTTTGATTGTTTTCGAGTTTAAATAAAGATTTGTTTTTACTGTATCTTTTTCGATATGTTCCATCTATTTCTTTCTTAAAGTCAGAGACCTCAAAAACACTTCAAATAAATATCTTGCCGAATCTCTTCTGCAGACCTATCCCATCGTTCTTGGGAGAAATCAGTTTAACTTTAAAATTTCACACAACCTTGTTCAGGTGTTGTGGTGACTTGTTAACATGGTTATATTCATATAGTTATATTTTAATTTAGCTATTTGTTTACTAGAGGGCGCATGATGTAATATCTCGAAATATCATGAAAGTTAAAGCCTCTATAGAATCTAGAAATTTCGTGCAGTGTGTAGAAACAATGGTATGATATAAATATGATAATCGGTGAAGCCATAAGTTAATGAGTAATTCAGTTCAGAGTTAGTAGTGAAAATTATCGCGTTTCTTCAGTTACTCAGTGAGTTAATTAGCGTGTTTGTTATAAATCGATTAGCAAGAAAATTCTGCTGAAAAGTTTATAAATAAATTGAATTTATATTGTGTCGCAGATTCTATTGAAATGTTGCTTGTGAATTTAGATCTACATCTTGTATCAAAGTGAATGTAACTTGTAGCAAAGATTATTGAAGACATAGATTAATCATCATTATCATTACATGAACTGGACTTGGCGTTATTTTTGCTAAATAATCTAAAAGAACTCACCAAACAAAAGGACATACTACAATAATAGTGTGAAATAAGTATTTTTTGTTAATTATACTGGCGAAATTAAAGAAAAAAAATTAGTTTGATTGAGGAAGGAAAGTTTATATATATGTGTTGGGGGGGGGGGGTATTTATATTTAAACTTGTCAGGAAGGATCTGAAATTAGGCAACATTTTCTAACAAAAATCTGGAAACACTGTTGTGCTACCCACAATGTTTTAAGCTGACCTGACATTCATATCCACAACCATTTTTGACTGTATGCAGGCAGATTATACAATATACATATTGAGTGTCACTGAATTATACAGCACTCTATTCATGGGAAGAGTGAGTTATTAACTAGTGAACCAACATTGATTCAATAGAGCACTGAAGATTGCAGGATAGTCCGAAATTTTGCAAAGATTCCAGATAAATATTTTTTTCTGAACACTGCTCAAGGCAGGAGTATCATCACTATCTGGAGTACCTAGAGTGATTGAGGAAATTCTCCTCCTGAGATTCAGCTTTAGTACATGGGAGACAAGTGACTGAGGATTGTTGTGGTGTTACGTGGTAGGGCGAGTCTAAAACTAATTTGAACAGTCTCTATAGGTTCCCCTGATGAATGTCAGCCAAAGTAGAGTTACTATGCCTTGTCATTGTCACTGTTCTATCCAGAGAGAATAGGGATGTTATTGGTGAATGATGTTCACCAACAACAGCTGTTTTGCTAGCAAGGAGACAGGAAGTACAGTAAGGTAAAGGTGGTGATATGTGGGACAGCTCTGAGACTCTCTGAGCAGGGAAGCTTAATGTTAAGGTAACCATGGGTCATGAAGAAACCTGGAGTCATGCCAGGTAAATTGGTGAGGTAACACATGTGCCCCACTGTTCCAGATATCCAGCAGGATTTATCACTCATCTGAATGTATAATATCCTGCACCAGCCCATTACATTATATTCCCAGCTCCAATGGGCAGGCCATGAGTCCAAGAGTTGAAGGCTTATGTCAAAATCATAAGTATCTGTGGAGAGGTTAAGCAGATTTCATATCTGTCTTTTACGGCAAGAGCAAAGGACTTAAACAATTTAATCAAGCAATAGTTATAATGTGAATGGCCTTCATAAGCTGGAGAAGCATGATTATAATTATTCAGACTTATCATAAGACATTAGTTTTAGGCCTTTTATATTTTTAACACTACTTGCTTCATTTAGCCCCTTAGGGTTTTCCAAGAGGAACAGTTTAAAATAGTAATTTGGCCATACTATTTCACCATAGCCATTGTTTATGAAGCCTCTCACTGAATACAGAGCTCATCAGGTCAACTAGGACACAACAAACACAGTATTTGTCAGAATACTATTTATACAAGCCATTTGTTACAAAAAAAGTTGTTATGAATGCTTTTTCTGAGCTGGGTGAAGCATGATAACTTTTATTATACTTGTCATAAGATATTAGTATCAAACCTATTATATTTTTGAATACACATCCTTTAGGGTTTTCCAAGAAGAAGGGTGTACAATAATATTTCGATTACACTATGTCCACCATATCCATTACAGACTATGTGTTTCACTCAATACAGATCTCATTAGTCCAAGAATGTAACAAACATAGTAATGGTCAAACCATATTTATATAAACTATTTGTTGCAACAACAACTGTTATTGAGTGAGTGCCTTTCATAAACACTAGGAATATAGCCAGTGCTTTTGCCTAAGAAGATAATAGGGCAAAATAATAGGTTCGTTTCTAACTAACACAAGAGTGGTTAGGACACTTGTAAACATTGAAGATTATCAGGCGCTCCTGGTGAATCCACCACACCAGCCAGTTAACACTTCACCATAGCAACTGACAGCTGACTCGGAGTGATGGAAAAGGTACGTCTCTGACTACATCTAGGTCACATGAGCCAGTGGAAAAGGTAGTGGTTGTTGATATAGTTCTGCCTGTGTAATAGGTAAACTAAGTTTCTGTGGGGAAAAAACATCCAGTGCCAGCCAGAATGGACCCCAAAACAGTAGACAGTACGAGTATACATGGAAGAGGGAGTCACCATACCTCAGGTCGTATTCCATGGTTTACTGCAGACAACATTGAGTGTATTGGCACAATGTATTGTAACTGTAGCACTAACATATGAGATAAACAGGGATCCTTCTGAGTAGGGATGCACTCTAGATGATGGTCTTAAATCATGGTAAGTGGGCTATCCAGATTTCCGCTAGATTGGTCATTTGAATCACAAGTGGAAGTGACTGAGGTTAGAGGCATTGCTATGGTTGTGTCCATCACTCTATGTTTGTGCCTCCTGACACATCTGATGTTGCTGGTTGAGGATTGTGCAAGCAATCTAGATTCAACTCAGTGACTTGTTGGTTAAAAACACTGTTGTATTTGTGGGATAAGATGGCTGATTGGGTCAAACAGAAATCACTCACCACCACATAGTTAAGAAGGATGCCTGTCTTATTAAAATAACTGTCACATAGACTTCCATTGAGCACTAGGTATACAGCCAATGCTGAGATACTGTAGATATTGAAAGGAACATAATCATCTTTGGGAGTGGTTGTCAAAAAGAAGTACAGCATGTGCAGGTTTTGTGTTGATTTTCAATGGGTGGATGTGGCAATGCATATGATGCCTTTCCATTACAACAGACAAACTAATGCCTGGACATATTGAAGAGCACCCAGTGGTTCAACACTTTAGACCTGGTATCTGGAAAGATCTGAATGACGAGATCTCTAAAGATGGTCTATATGAATTCTGGGTTATGCCATTTAGCCTGTGTAATGCTCCTGCCACAATCAAGAGTTTCCTGGAACTTGTGCCCAAAGGTCTACAATGGTACCAATGCCTTACCTATGTGTATGGCAGCTTGGGATTTGGTCATACGTGAAAGTCTGCTGTTCTGATCCTGTCAATGGTACTGCAGCCAGTTTGAAGTTTAAACTTGGAAGGTATGTGTGTTCATGTGTGTGGAAGTAAAATTCCTTAGTTACATTGTGGAGAAAGCGCACATCTCTAAAGGCCCTGTGGAGATTGCACCAGTTCAAGACTGGCCTCTACTCATGACATGAAGTACAGTTTTCTGGATTTTGTGTCATAATACAGATGTTTTAGGGTCAATTTATCCAAGATCACACACCACTGTCTGCTCTTACTAAAGTCAATATCAGGCAGGTGGTAGCATTGCCTATGTAGGTCACCAGAACTTCAAAATACTACAGTGTTTCCCTTTATAACAATATCCATGTAATGACTGAATCACAAGTTCTGGAAATGTCTGTAAATATCATAGCAATAGTTCGAATTCCGTCTTCTTTTTTATTACATGACAACTCAAAAACCAAAACAATGATGTCAACCAAATTTTTGAAGTGACATAGTTTCAAATGGAGTATTCACTTTTATAAGTATTATTAACTAGTAGTAATTAAAAAAAACGCAATTCTAGTATAAACGATGTTATCATTTACACTTACAGAAATTTGGTGTTCCTTTAAAAAGCTTAAGTACAGGTTGAAACAGGAATTAGCAGCCAATAGATAAAGAATAAATATTAAAGTTGGTTTGATTTGTTTTGAATTTCGTGCAAAGCTATCTGCACTAGCCGTTCGTAATTTAGCAGTGAAAGACTAGAAGGAAAGCAGCTAGTCAACACCACCAACTCTTGGGATACTCTTTTATCAACAAATAGTGGGATTGACTATCACTTTATAACGACCCCACGGCTGAAAGGGCGAGCATGTTTGGTGGGACGGGGATTCGAACCCGCGACCCACAGATTGCGAGTCCAGTGCCCTAACCACTCGGCCAATTACATAAGAAATTCATTGTATTTAGAACATGGTTGTATATACAACTTTCCTTTGTCTATTGAAACTCTGTATTAAAAAAACAAAGTAACCAAGAAAAGAAAAAAAACTTTTCAAAAAAGGAAGTAAATGTTGGGATGGTTAATATCAATCCTTCAAAAATAATGCAAACAAAATAGTAGGGATGTCATCCCTACATAATAGCATTGGTAATAATTAATATATAGCAATATATGTAACTATTCAATCACAATTGGGTTTAATATATCCTATTTTTGTCTATTAACACTCTACTACATTGTAGGATTGATGAAAATGGTATTTCTAGTATCTTGTTTGCATTGTTTTTAGACATCCCTACATTTACTTCCTTTTTTTGAAAAGTTTTTTCTTTACTTATACATTTTAGGTGACCGAGGAATGTGAGTAAGCATTCATGTCCCTATCAGTTCATGTTAGATACCAAGACCAGTGTAACAAGTGGCCCATAGGTGTAGTTACAAATGAATATATTTTATATCCAGGTTAAGCACTCAAGAATTTACGTGTGGAATAAAGAACTCACTCAAGGCAGTTATAACACAAACACTAAATAATTATTATTACAAACTATTGATCAATTCTTTTATATCAAAGATTCCAAAGTTATCTTGAAATAATCCAAAATTAAGACTTTCAAACTAGGTTCGTTTAGGACACTGGTATATTCAAATCTCCTGCTATTCATTAACATGGATACAACATTGAACAAGTTATCTATTAAAGTAATACGAGAAATTCCTTCAGTAAAAGTTTTTATTATACAACCGTGCTAATAAATTTTCCAATATATCTCTTGGCAATTCAAGGACATCTTTCAATAGTCTTAATACATCTTCATTAAAATCAATATGTTTCACTTTTCTCTTTTCGGACATTATACATTACCAAGTGCAACACTGTCATACTAAATCAGAGATAGCATTACTTACAAAGAGTGTGTGCAACGGATGTAAATTAAGGTTTGAAATATAGCCATGACAATGGATCTAATGGGCGTGTCAGCTGGAGCAAGATGGCTCCAGGGTTGGAAACACGATGTTTTATACACAAATTTCCGTGTATTTACGATTTTACAAGACGTTCCTTCAACTTAATTCGTACAAGTGAAATATTCCACCAAACCATAACTACTTGTTAACTAGTTAATACGGAACTATTTCTTGACCTTGGCGTAAACACCCGAGATTATGAACCCAGGGTGTATAGAGACAAATCGTGTAACTTCAGTCTTTCTACAGGTACCTTCCACTTATTAATACTTTTCAAAGTTCCGTTAATTGTTTTTTTTATGAAGTTACTTCCTCTAATTATATAAACATTTGTTGCTTTCTCTCACTAAATCATGCCTGTTCGGCGCTGGTGATCATAACTGTTAGTTTCCATACTTCAAGTCAAAGCCTGGAATGTATATCCAGCTAACTCATATAATGTTTCGAGTTTTCACACTCTTATTTGGTAATGTGGTTCACTAGCTAGTGTCCACGTATTTATTTGGTCTGCTGTACTTCTGTAGGTTTCTATTAACTATCTAGGATCACATAATTCTCATTTCTCTATGTAATAATTTATATGTCAATTGAAACTCCGTTTCTTGAAATTCGGAGTATTTGCATTATAACAAATGCTTTACAAGTAACTGTGGAATAGGGTACACAGTTACAGAATGTAGAACATATAGTATTATATGTGAATCATATGCTTGTGGCTCCAAAATGCAGATACCATATTAAGAAATAGCTATTTGCAACTGTCGTCTTCATGAAGTGCTTCCAACATTACCTGCACAGCAGAAGGTTCATCCTTTGAGCAGACTATGCATCACTAAGGTGGCTCATGGACAAAGTTGAAAGTATGAAATGCTCATAGATTATCGTTTGGGGATGCAATACGAAAATGGATACAGTCTTTTCACGCAGTGACAGTTTATTCATTCCTTGAATGTTGCGATCTGAGACTCTGACAGAAAATGAAAGCCATTTCTGCAACTGCGAGCCTAATGGTAGTGGATTCCACTAGTGAATGGATGCCACAATTCACACCCTAAAAGATTAGGGAAGAGCAACTGGAAAACCCCAAATTAGCATAGACACTCCTTGCCATGTACTAAGGTGAACCTTGTGACACTTGTACAAGCAGTTACAGATTTATTAAGGCATGTTATACCATAGCTATTGACCACCAAGACATGGTTCCCAACCTGTGCTGCAGCTAGAGGCAACAAAACCATGCAACAAAACAGAGTTTGATAAGATGTTCACCATACATGCTCATGTTTGATAGAAAAATATTGCTCCCTATAGGTATGATGTACAGTCTATCCCCAAATGAAAGTGTCCTGCAATGTGAAAAATAATATGTGGAGTGGCTGCAGTGTGCATTAGCATTTACAAAAGGTCACCATACAATACAGTCAGAGAGCAATTATTCCAGTATGGAGACTGGGTTCAACTTTGATACATGCCAATGGCACAGAAGCCACTCAGATCTGGTTGGCTAGATCCATACCTAATACTCAAATATATGAGATACAGCAGTAGTGTGGCATGCTAAGAGTGTGTCAACAAACTGTAACTATATGTTACAGACACCACTATCATGCACTAGTTTGAACAGGAATCAGAAGTTGAGACTGATGAGTTTGAAGATGATGAAAGTGCTTATTCATACCATTTTAGCTCAGCTGATGAGAAGGAAGGAGCAGGAGTCAGATGAAGAGGTATTGGATAGCTCTAATTGTTAGTTGAGATGCTCTTATGACGTCTATGGCTAGGATTAATTGCCATATCACCTGTTACGGTGGTCACTAAGTGTAAAATCACTGACTGAAAGGAAGTGGCAATCTTTGCTTTCCAAGCTATCAAGTGATGTTTGTGATACAAAGTATGCACTACATTGTGTAAATTATACTTGATTATTTACAGCTAAGACAGTAATTCGATCAAGAAACTGAAAGACCTTTGTTTTCTGAGCTATCATGCAGTACTGTCTTGCTGACAAAATGTATGGACTACAGTTTGTGACTAGCTCTCTATCATCAGTAAGTTAGGATTCTTACCTTCTGAACTACTGAGCAGCTTCACACATGATATCCAAAAAACATTGGTTGACAGCTGCTCAACTACTGGACAGTTTGGATGATTGGTGTTTGTAGATGTAATGCCTAGAACATACATTTCTCATAATCGCTTTGTAACTTGTGACCAATTATATCTTGACAAACAGTCCTATGAATGAATAAAATACTAAAAATATCCCATAAACCTTTAATAAATATCTGGTTTTTACTATATATTATGCTATTTTAATAATAAAACATGTTATTCATATAAAACACTGACTGCATCTGCATGTACCGTGTAGTACTAAGAGGCTTTTTGCAATAAAATAATTGAATGGAAAAAACATACTGTAAGATACTGTAATTAATAAAGAGTAGTAAAGTTTATTTCTTGGACTGGCAAAAGAAGAGAAAAAAATAATTTATTTTACAGTTTAATAAGCTAAAGACAGTTTTTCTTCTATTTAAAGTTGACAAATCCTCACGTTACTGAAGAGGAGAGCATTGAGACTGTTATTCCAAATAAAAGCAAATGTAAATGCATAGTTGAGAATACATTACCACCACAATTAAATGTTTCACGCAAGACAAATTATATACTACTTACAATATAAACATATAAAAGATTGGAAGTCAATAATTAATAAACATACTTTTTTATTAAAATGTCCATGTGGTACAAAGTTTTGGATGAAACTGGCCATTACAACACATATTGTTAAAAACATTCTAAACTTTGGACATTTTTACATACAATCAGAAATTAAGAAGTTCCCCAGGTTAGTCGAGCTACATGATCGGTCTTTCTCTTCGTTGGTTTGATGAAACCTAAAAACTGAAGCTCTGAAACTGCCTGCACAAACTGAGCTCTAGGGTAACCGTTAAGATCAAACAAAATCTTCAAATAAAGCTTCAACTAGTAAACTTCATTCTAATGACACATTTGCAACTTTTTTAAGTGAACAAGATCAGTAAACAAAACAGAAAATCAATAGCTAAAAACATGAAGATATTTCATAGCACTGACTCTAAAAATAAGTTACAAAAAATTAAATACTAGATATCTTTAATAATTATAAGATTAAAATTTAATATCACCTTACTACATAAAAATGTAACTGGGTGGGAATACTGGCTTTCAAAAACCCTAGTTAGAATATTAATCTCTTACACATCTAAACATGTAAGAAAATACTCTAAAGGATACTGAAGTATCAAATCCTGATTAGGCTCATCTTTTCTCTTGTTTTTTCTCTTTTCCCTATCTACTTGTGTCAGTTTTCCAGAATCAGCTTCCATTTTTACCATCTTGAATGACTAGAAGTAAAAAATATCATGGTAAGGACTTCAATAACAAAATCTTAAGAACACACAGGCAAACAAAAGTATACTACACACTTTGTGTTTTTCTTATAGCAAAGCCACATCGTGTTATCTGCCGTGTTCACTAAGAGGAACTGAACCCCTGATTTCAGCTTTGTAAATCCTTAGACTTATTGCCATCCCACCAGTGGGATTTTTGAAATTCTACATTGCCAATTGTTTTATTGGTGATCCACATCATTTATGCCTTTAAAGTACACATTTACCAGTTTAATGCAGTTTTCTATAAGAGGATCTTACTCAAAAATACACAATAAGCTTTCAATATTACATATATTAATACTAAAATAGTTTTTACTTTTCTACCTCACAATTTCTTCCCTCAATAAATGTGCAGGCAGTTCAACTTTTTCCAATATTTTCTTAATAAATGCAGTACTTATTTATAAAAATAAAGAAAACTAAATATTTTCCTACTTTCATTTGAATTACAAAAACATTTACGTTGTTTCATCTTTATTGCTTTTTTCTGCAAAAATAATAAAATACAGACTGCACGTTGTGCTTAGTTCCAATCTTATTTATAAATTAAACTTGGCTTTGATGTGTAAGTGTTGTAAACCTTGACAAAGCCCCCTAGTGGTTTAGCAGTAAGTCTGAGGGCTTACAATGCTAATAATAAGGTTTTTGGTACCCGTGGTGGGCATAGCACAGACAGCCTGTTGTTTAGTTTTGTGTTTAACAACAGACAAACCTTGACAAGTAGCTTTCCTTGTTTAACCTTAAGGATACAATAAAAGTTTTTATGAATAGGTCACATTTAATTCAAATTGTTACATCTTTTTTACTTTTCTCCGTTATTAGGCAATAATTCTCTACAGTCTTAGCCATAAAACAACTGATTTCATAGCTTGTAACCTCAACTGATGAAAAAAACAGAGCAACCAACAACTTATGGGAGTCTCAAAAATTGTAAATAACATATTGAAACTCACTCAACACAAAGTTAAATGCTTGCTTTTTTTCCCATCAATGTCCAGTACAGTTGACAGAATTGGTTTATTTGTTTTAAAAATGTTTTACCTGTAGCCAATCATATAAGTTGATGAGACGTCCATGCTCTAGATGTAATTTGTAGGCTACACAAGTATCCACCATGGAGCTACAGATTTGTGAATAATCATCAATAGAACAGCATGTACACTGTAGGGAAAAGTCATAAAGAAAATGAAGAGATCTTACAGCTTCATACATCCTACCCAATTATCACAAATTTTTATTGTAAAAACTTACACAAACTGATTTGTTGTTATTAAAGTGAATTACTTTGTTCTTAATTTTGAACGTTTTACAGATCATTTCTACTAATAGCTAAAGTTATACTTTTATACTACAATAAATGATTGTATATTTGGTGTGTCACTCATCTGATAAGCATATTATTAACATCAAATAATGATCTTTACCTGGAGACTTTATTTTATTGCATAATATTTCACTTTTTATCAACATCAGGAATGGTTTATAAACTACAAGGTCACTATTAGAGATTAGTTCACATGTAGGTTGTTCAATATTACGCTTTACATCTTCATCAGGAGTATGTGGGTTCTAACTTAAAAGTTCACTGTTCTTTAATAGTGAACTTGTAGGTTATAAATTGCTCCTGACAAAACTGTAAAGCAAAACACTAAATAATAAAAAGGAAAATTAGGCACATTTCTAATAATCAAAAAAAGGAAGAAAGAAAGGATACACTTTCATGAAATTTCTTCCCATTATCTGGCATAGTCACTGCAATAAATATCTTAAAAAAAATATGAAGGTAAAATTTTTTTTAATTTAATGATTCTATATTTATCGAAAACAAATCCTTCAAAAAATATGATAAATACAGGCTATGAGCACAGCAAATTTAAGTCTAGTTAACACTGCTGTCAAATTAATACTGATATTTGTTAATTATAAATCAAAACTTAGTCTCTTAATGATCTAATATAGTACCAGTATAAAAGTAGCAGCAAAAATCAGACATTTTAGTTAATCTAGAATACTTGTACCTGGAGATAAGAAGCAGGGTCCACTAAGGCCTTGCATATAGCTGATCTTGGTGCTGCCATAATGTGCTGTTTTACACTTCCTGCATAATTAAAATACAGGATTTCATGAAGTGGAAAACATGATGGTGGCACAAGTTCTCTGTATTGTAAAAAAAACAACAACAACAGAATTCTGCTTATTTGACCTTCCCAAACAATTATAAACATGCAAGTTCCACTATTATGAAGTAATAAACATGTTTCTTCAAACATTTGAAAGTTATCTTAAGCTTGCTCATATCTTAATTTTCAATCACAACACAATATAATTTACAATATATATATCAAGATTTATAAATTTCGTTTGTCATTTCAAAAAAACATTTTTTAACTTAACATCTAATGCCTTTGTTTTATTTCACCTGAACAAAGAGTTGAAGAAGTCCACAATGTTTTGACGACAATTTTCAAACTCTGTGCTCTTTCTATTCCGAGCAAGATCCTTTAGTTTCTAAAAAAAGGAATAATACAGCATGACAATTACATACAGAAATACCTAAGGAAGTAGTGTTACATATATATCAGCACTTTACCAATTGTTGATGGCACCCTGTGCAAGATATAAATTTTGTGCCCCCTCTTCCAAAAAAACTAATCTATCATCCTTACTTTCAAAGATGCAAACTTTCACCCCTTATGGGGTAAATTTGCTGTGCTCATAGCCTGTATTTATCATATTTTTTGAAGGATTTGTTTTCGATAAATATAGAATCATTAAATTAAAAAAAAAATTACCTTCATATTCTTTTTAAGATATTTAAGATATTCTTAAGATATTAAATTTCCAATCAATAAAATAGATAACTTAATATTTTGTATGCTTCACTATATCTCTACTCCAACTTCAGTAGGCCTATAGAACATTCTGTGTGAGCACACAACTCACACTACCCTTGGTACAGCCCCAATATTTATACTTTTACACAAATAATATTTTATTTTCTAAAATGGGGGAGGGAGAATTATTAAGAAAAACAGAAAAATATTTTTATTTACAATATTTTTAAACCAGTGTGACAAAAAGAAGTATGATTTAAATATATCTTTGTGTTAAAAATAATACCAGTGCTACTAATTATAACCAAGTAAATATAAAGTATTCAGATGGAGTTTGAGGATTTGTTAACATCATAAAGTTAGAAGGAACTTTTTAAAACCAGCATTTCTGAAACTTTATAGTTCAAATATTTGGAACTCATTATAGATCAAAAGTAAAAACAGAATTTTTGGAGTTACAAAAATTAGATATATCAGTCTTATATATAAAACAATCTTAAAAAATAGCTAATTAAGCAATTAATCAGTTTATAAAATGTAACAGTTACATTTCCAATCAATAAAATAGATAACTTAATATTTTGCATGGTTCACTATATCTCTACTCCAACTTCAGTAGGCCTATGTAAACAAACAAAAAAATAATGAAAGCAACTGCTGTAAACTCTGGTAAGCAAGGTTACTAAGACAATAAAATAATTTTCAACTGATTCTAAATTGAGGTGAGAGAATTTTAGTATGAAATGAAGAAAAACGTTTTGTAAGTGAGAAGAGCTTGTAAAGTTACTTTTCATATAGATCAAACTGTGTCTACAAAAAAAAAGAATAGTTTTATTCTGTTCTGAAAAAATAAAAAAAATTACTAACACATAGACAAAAATTTAATGTTCAGATATTTTCTGTATAGAAAAGGTTTAGTACATCAAATACACTCTTTCATGTAGACAAAAATGTAATGAAAATGGACTATAAAAATGACAATGCCTATATATTTAATTTTTATTGACAGTCATGGTAAGAAATTTACAGTGTTTTAAGCTACATTTTCAATGCTATTATTTGACTGTTAACTAGAGGGAGTCACAAGTCATAGGATGATGTTAAGATAGGCTTAGAAATTTCTAAGACTGGATTTCAAGTTTTCCAGTACATTCTAAGACAGCTTATAAAAAGGGGTTTGGAAAACATAGTTAAGATAGGTAGCTATTATATAATTCAAGATTGATAGTTGAATTATTCAATGTGTTTTCATGAAGTATTTAGATCTGTGTTAGCTATCATGCTTGTTGAGTTACTCTGTACAAGTAAGCTGATTTTACATTAAAATGCATCAGAATCAGGAGTGCTATAACACCCACACTTTTACATATTTGACTTGTATAGCAACTGTAAATGATATTATTATATTAATATTCTTGGGAGGCATGTCCCCAGACTCCCCTAGATTGAGCTGCCTTTAGAAGCTCTTTATACTTTCAAGTTCTCATTGTAAAATATGCATGTATAGCCAAGCACCCACACTTTGCAACTCCTTTCTACAACATTGACATTAATCCTAATATTGTCAGACATGTTTGAGCATCATTTTTAATGTAGTCCTACAAAAATTTATGACAGTGTACAAGTGTTCAAGCTTGTATTGATGTTAAATTATTTTCACCAGATAATTCAAATGAACCTGCCAATGAAAGAACAATGACACAACAACAGATTTAATGCCAAGATAATCTGTTTACACATTCTATACTATTTTCAAAATGTTTAAAGAAAAAAGGGAATGTTAGTAAATGTATTTTTCTGAAGAAAATAAACTGAGATTGGGCAATCTATGGAATGGAATAGAAATGTTTTGAAAACACATTTTTTTAACATCTGGTAGAGAGAAATAAGTGAATAATCCTCAAGAGAATAGAAGTTAATTTTCCATCTTTAAATATTATCACAAAGGTGAATGATGATGTGACTTGTTAAAAATCTTCTAACTGGATAACTGATCACAGACACATAATACCATTAACTGACATACAAGGGTTAAGCCTAATTTGTTATTCAAGAAATATCACTGACAAGCATAATTGTACAAATTGTACCCTTTAATGAAAGATGGACTGTACAGTGTGATGTTTAGTTTGAAAGAAGTGTGTTTTAGCTCATTTAGTCTTATTTTGTAAGTTTTTTAACTTCATAAAAATAAACTATTTTTTTAAAATCAAATCTAAACTTACTTCTTTTAACTGTGATCTACTTGTCATTTTTCCAAAGTCCACAATCACAGACTGTTTTTGCTTCACTTTTGTCTCCTCAGTGTCAGCTACATATATATATATACATTTAGTTAGAGAAAAAAGTATTTCAAGTGGTGGCGATAAATTTAATATTTTAATGGAAAAACAGTATGTGTAAAATACGTAATATATTAAACATTTTAGAATAAAACTTTAAATAATTATGCATGAAACTATAGGAAATGTTTTAAATTTAAAAACTAAGAGTATAACCAATTAATTTAATAATTTGTACTATAGTTTTTGGCTAATTAAAAAAAAACATTAGCCTTAACTACTGTTAACTTTCAACAGCTTAGATTAATTTGAAATGTATAACTATTCACAGTAATTTTTCATAACTTGTCTAAGAAAAGTGAAACTGCACATTAAAGAACTAGAATGTTAAGTTGCAATGATTTTAAAGTTGTGCATATTCTTGAACAAGTAGGTTTGAATAAATGTTTAAATATTAAATCAATACATTTTTGTGTGTCAACTGATATCACAGGCCTGCAATGGTTTTATTGTCTTGAAATTTTTACATGTTTTAAGGTAATTCCTGTATGTTGAATCCGAAAAGGGTATCCATTTTACTCAATCACGTACAGATTTTTCACAAATTATCATTTGTACTTTTATATAAATGAATCATTTTCATTGAAATCGGGTCACATTTTATTATGATTAAAATGTTGACAACCACTGGCTATAGATTTCTCTTGGCCAATAACTATGTGAGAGTTTTTTTGGATCAATCTAGAACCCAAACATAAAAACAAAATAATAACAAATGTTCATTGTTGTAAAGAAAATAATAATTTAATCTAAGTAAGTTTTTTTTTTCCTTCCCAATTTGTAAAAAATCCTTACATTATAGAAAAAATGAATATTATTTTCGAAACCTGTGTAGCTGAATTATGGAAAATCCATTATTAAAATCAAAACAACATTTATGAAGTTTAAATACACAGGCCTGTGTATCCAGTTTTTTGTGAGCTTTTTTCTTACTATATTTTCCCACAAAATGATCTTAAAAAAATTCTTGCTTACTTCAAATTCCTGCAGATATACTCAAAGTTCTTCTCACAAACATTATGTGTGAAAATGTATGCAAGCAGCCCTAAAATAAAAAAAAATAAAAATTACCCATTTCTTTTATATGATGTAGATTGCTTATAAACTCTTGAAGTTTTTGCCTGACATCTTGAAATTGACTCCAATGTTGTATTTCATTGTTCTCTAAAAATGACTGGCAAGACAGAAGGCGATCTTCTAGTTCATTTCGAGATAGCATTCTATAAATTGAAATCATTAGTTATCATCAAACAGTAAACTGTCAACAAAAGCTAATGTAGATGTAATTTTGATGAAAACAGCAATTTCACTTTTCTTTTAATGAAGAACTTTGTCAAAACAATATATCTTTATAAAAACAAATATTTTAATTAAGAATAAAGATAAAACAATATGCAGAAACACAACAAATAGGTTGAATAGTAAAGACGAAGTGTGTGCAAGATGTTAAAATATCATGAATTATGTAAATTTAAGAGAGAATAGATTGCAGACTTTTGGAAGAGTATAGTAATTAGAATGCTTGGTCACCCATGACCTACTGTGTATGAGACCACTCAAAGAACTCGCAAAGTTAGCTTAACTTACCCAAAAATTTTAGAGGCCTTCTTATATTCTTGTGTGTCACTGATGTTTTTTTCTAAGGCAAGAACATATACCTCTCTCATCTAAAAAAATTTAAATTTAAGTAACTGATAAAGAAATGCACAAACAAATGAATTAGTACATACACAAATGATTACTGAGAGATTAATATATATATGTAATAAAATTGTATTCAAAACAACAGGATCTTGCTAATTATAATATGTTTATCATTACCTTGATCAAAAAAATAAAACAGTGTTATGTAAGAAAAGGATATTTGTATTCTGGTTGATCAGGCTTGTAATTTATCCAAGTAATGTGCTGTTGCTGGTGGCAGGATAAATTGGATTTTAGGTTGTATCTACAGAAATATTGAATAAAAGTCTAACAAGGTTATAATGCCATTGTATAGGTCATTGTTTAGGCTACATTTGAAGTACTGTAGTCAGACTTGGCCTAGTTACCTTAGGAAGGACACTGATTTCTTGGAAAGGGTTTAGAGGAGGGCTATTAGGATGATACCCAAGATGGAAAGGTTGACATACAAGGACAGGTTAACATCTCTAAAGGTGTTTTCTCTTAGAAAAAAGAAGAGTTAGAAGGGATCTAATTGAAGTGTTTAAGACTGTTAAGGGAAATTATAGTGTTGATGCACCATTTTTTTCATACTTGATGGTGAGAATGATAGGACAAGGGGATACAAAAATAAATTTTGGCAGGGTAGATGCCATCTTCAGCTTGGAAAATTTTATTTTTCTAACAGGGTAACTGGCCTTTGGTTTGGTTTGAATTTTGCACAAAGCTACATGAGAACTATTACATGTGTAATATACAAATTTATGTTAACAGTCTGTACTCAAAATAACTTTAAACATAAATTTATCAGGAACTTTTTCTTAAACTATAGCAACTTTTTCTGGATTTCTTAAAACAAAATCCAAGTTAACACTAATTTTATAGAAAAATTGCCTGAAGCTGCTGTATGTTCAGTCAGCCTTTGAAACTGCTTTGTTAGACCAAGGGTTTGTTCACACAAGAAGTATGAATACAGTGATTAATGTAGGCTCTTTTAGGCAAGACATCATAAGAAATCCTTAAGAAAGTCCCTTGAAAAAAATGAGCAGAGTCACCATATTGTCATGTTTACTTAAATCTATTAACAAAGAATTTAGTCCTAAGTTTGGTAAAGCATTAGTTTCAGCCACATAAAGTTTAATATCACAGAAAATCTAACATGTATCTCTTACATATGGGACATTATTGTACTCGGATAACTGTAAGATTTCTACATTAACCCTAGAGTTAAGCTGATGGGGGCCAGAACCCCATCAGCTTTTTGAAAACACTTTGCTAAATTATTTAAGCATCAAGTTGCTTGTGTGTCAAAAATGTGTTGTTAGTTACAAGATCCCTACTAAATGAGTCACAGAAAAATAAATGAAAAATAGCATCAACTGCAATTCCACTAATTACTGCTGGGTTCCCCTATTTACTTTTTATAGAAGATGAGAGATTTCATTTTTGTGGGGATCTTTTCTTTAGACTGAGTATTTTAACAGGTAAATACATAAAATTACTTAGTACGTGGGCCTTTATTGAAATTAAATAAATGTAAATTGAAAATCTGAGAGTTAAAGGATTGAGTTTAAACATAATTTGAAGTATTATTAGAACTGAGATACAAACTTGTTTGAAATCCCTGTTACTTTAGTCTGTGAAATTATGAAAATTAAATAACTCAGAGATTCAACCTTAAAAACTGAATGCATAAGCAATGTCTCTTGCCAATAGCTTACATTTGAAACCTCTTGCAATCCTAACTGTAAGTCTGACACTAGTGAACTTTGTAAGTTTGCTAAATAAAGTTATTATACATAAGTTATTTCCCTTTTAGAATAAAAACAGAAATATACTAGAACTAAGCTTTACTCCTGAACACTCAAGAAAGCATAATTCTCACCTGTTTACCTAATGGATGACTAGGAAGATCTTTAACAAGGACATGAAGACATCCTACTAATCCAAACATTTTGTACTGGTAGGTATGCAGCTCTTCTAATAGTTTGAACACAAGGTCCTATAAGTGTAACAATAGAGTGCAAGAACAAAATGGTTGAACATAAAAATATAATTAAATAAAGATTTCCAAATGAAGAGCATAGCATTATTCAGAAAGCAAGAATGCAAAAATACTTGGAACATGTTTAATGAAATATTAAGTTAGGTCTTAACACTGAAAAGCATAGTCAAGTTAGTCAAGTCTTAAATAAGAAAAAACCCCTACAATGTTTTTTGCCATCAGGCTTGATAAATAATTATTAAATCCATACTTCAAAAATCTGGGCACAGAAGAATACTTAGTGAAATAAAATATTTGAATTTTTAAGTTTAAGACAAAAATATCTTTGAACAATTCTGTGAAAAATAGATGACTGCTTTCCACTACTGGATTTCATTGAGTATGTATCAAATGTCAACTGCAATAGTTTGCTAGTCACTCTGCAATTTAAAGCTGTATGTGCAGATGTTGCAACAGTACAGTTAACAGTACTGTAACTTTACTTGCATTTTGCCTCAGAATAACATATTACCCCTCACTTTTCAATATACAAGTAATTTGTAATCAGTCACATATTATTTTAAATTTTTGTATTAGTTATCAATTCTAAAAAAAAAAACTAGTTTTCGTGTATTCTAAGGAGAGACCCACATATCTAATGGCATTATGTGCAAGAATTTTGTTAAGTATAGTTAGCAATGCATGCTAATACAGCAAGTTATATCAATGTATTCTTAGGAAAGGATCTTGTCATATGTGGCCATTAACTTCCACAAGCAAAGCTTCCTTTAAAGGAAAGTGACTACTGAACATCTAGTGTCATGTTTCTCATCAAGCTTAAGTTCAGTGAACTTTTCCAAAGAGTATGTGACCTTTAGATAGTGATCATCACAATGTACAAAGAATTGGATTAACACATAATATGTTATACACTATGATTCATACTTTTACTGATCAAAATATCATTAAAACTTAAACTTTTGAAATATCTAATATATAGGCTGAAAATGTAGCAGTTTTTTTTTAAACAACTCCTACATTGGTGCAAAACACATATCATATTTAATAAAGAAAAGTGTTTTCATGTTTAAAACTTTAACAAGTATCTCATAATGGAGTTAGATTGGATTTGTTTTTAAATTGTAAGTTAGTATTTTACTAAATAAACATTTCCCAGATGCAATAAGAGACACCACTACTTAAGTTAAACTTTCTGGTTAAAGCTTGCTGAAGCTAACCAACTAACTTAAAAACAATTTTCATGACTTCTTACAGGCATGTTTAAAAAGAAATATAAATAACAAAATATACAGAGAGAGAGTTAATAAGGAAACTTATATCTATTGTGTTTTTATACCAAAAAGAATGATTCTCTTAATTTACCAATTTCCTTTCCACTCAAAAAAAAAGAAGAAAAAAACATCTACTAAAGTGACTCATTCTCAGAAGTTAGAGGGAAAAAAGTGAATTATCTTACTTGCACAAAAACCCACATCTTTAATGTCAACAATAAAGTACAGATAATTGTAGGTATTTTTCAGAATTTATAAATGGTGTTCACAAAAAGTAGCTAACTGTTTGAATCAAGAGAAATTAATGTACGTAAGTAGCAATGTTATGCTTATTAGTCACACAATACCGGAGTAACGTAATGTTTATTACTCACACAATACCGGAGTAACGTAATGTTTATTACTCACACAATACCGGAGTAATGTAATGTTTATTAGTCACACAATACCGGAGTAACGTAATGTTTATTAGTCACACAATACCGGAGCAACATAATGTTTATTCGTCACACAATACCAGAGTAACGTAATGTTTATTAGTCACACAATACCAGAGGAACAGTTACTCCGGTATTGTGTGACTAATAAACATTAGTAATGTTTATTAGTCACACAATACCAGAGCAACATAATGTTTATTAGTCACACAATACCAGATATGAATACCTTAAAGCAGCAGTAACCACTTTCGTAACCACCTATACTGTATTAATGTACAATTGAGTCTTAAATACACAGGATAATTTATGAGAAGAAAAGTGTATTTAATATTATAGATTATCATTTTTTGTGTCAAAGAGTGTTTAAGTTGAAATTCACTTGCTTATTTATGGTTTTAAGATACAAATGAATTGATCAATTAAGTTTTATTCCATTTCAAATACTTTCACTTTTGGATGATTGTTCTTTTTCACACAGCTGATTGGCCATTTGATCTAAGAATCTTTTAACTAGGGATTTTGATTAGTTATTGATTTAATCATTTGAGCTTCTGCTTATCTAAAAAGTGATTTTATCAATAACCTAAATTAATTGTATATTATTTGATACATAATTACATTTATAAATACATTAAGAATTGGACCACTTCACGTCTGCAAGTTTTGCAGTCCCGGCTGCCTTAAAGTTGTAAGTCCTGTTTTTTTTATTCTGTCTACTACTCACTAAGTATTCTATAATATGAGAAACTATACATTACTAACTTATAAAATTTTAAATCCAGCTGACAGTTTTTAGTCCACCTCCTATTCAAAGTTCATGTTCTGTTGTTGTTTTTTTTACCTTTTTGCAATTGAATATGTAGTGGAAGTGCACTCATCTTCTGATTATAAGCTGGTTTCCTTTGCTTAATGACAAGATATAAGCTGTAAACCTTTCAAGGAACGGAGGATGATGCAGAAGCAATTGGAGGTAGGCATAAATTCACATTCTTTTAAACAGTGGTTGGTAATACAGTAATACTAGAATCTCTTGCTATTAAGCTAAGAAAACCAATTGTGAAAATGTAAAGAAACAACAGAACATGAATTCTGATTGTTGAGCTGACCTAATAGTTTCAAGACTATTTTATTTGCAACAATGTATATAAACATTAAGTAGCCATGGGTCCTAAATAGAGCAATGACAAAGTTGTTGTCTACTCTTAAAAAAAAAACAGAATCTACAATTGAAAACAAAATTTTATTTAAACTACTAGTATTACTATCAATGAAAATTACTAAACTACATTTGGAATGATGTAGAAGTGGTGAAACCTACTTAAGAAAATGCTTACCTTGTAAATTTTATTATTTCCTGGGACATTTTGGCAATTCTGCAAATACCTAAAAATTGGTAAAATTGATCTGTATCTTGGTACTGTTTTACTACTAAAATAATCTAATAAAAATTATAAACAACTTGTTTATTATCTAAAGTTACACAAGAATATACATAATGATAATTGATAATCTTTGAAATGGGTGCTCAAAACATACATTCTATTAATGCTAGCAAAAGTAAAGAAAACTTTAAAGATACATACATATATATATATATATTCACATAATGTTGTTTAAATTGGAGGATTTTTAATATAAACCACAAAAACAGTTACTTTTTTCTAGCATATAGTTACAGAAAATAAAATTTTTGTTTACACAAGAAATCTAAACAAAATACAAGATAAAAATCTTTACTTACTGCCTAAAAGAAGGAAGTTCTTTAATGGCTGTAAATTCTGATATTCCTAAATTTTCAATACGACCTTTTAACTGTGAGAGGTCACAACATAACGTTGTTGTAGTAGACGTGTAGAAATGTTCAAAAAGACAGAACTACAGAAGAATAAATCATAAATCACCGAAGTAAAAGTTACACATACACATATATATATAAACAAAGAGTACAAGCTAAACTTTTAAGCTATAAAATTAAGCCACAAAATAAAATTAAATTACACAAATAAAAATAAAAATTTAAAGTTACATTAAGTGTTATATATCTGTGTAGCTACTAAAAAGCATCGGGATATTCTGTTTATCAATATAAAGTCCACATACAGAATGAAAAACAAGCAGGACAACAGCAAAAATTCAAAAATTAAGAAGGTGTAAACAGCTCAGGTGCTTAAAGAATGTCCTGATACCCAATATCATTCACCATCTGCAGCCAGTTGTGGACATGGAACCCAACATCATTCACCATATGCAACCAGTTGTGGACATGAAACCCAACATCATTCACCATATGCAACCAGTTGTGGACAAGGAACCCAACATCATTCACCATATGCAACCAGTTGTGGACATGAAACCCAACATCATTCACCATCTGCAGCCAGTTGTGGACATGGAACCCAACATCATTCACCATATGCAACCAGTTGTGGACATGAAACCCAACATCATTCACCATATGCAACCAGTTGTGGACATGGAACCCAACATCATTCACCATATGCAACCAGTTGTGGACATGAAACCCAACATCATTCACCATCTGCAGCCAGTTGTGGACATGGAACCCAACATCATTCACCATCTGCAGCCAGTTGTGGACATGGAACCCAACATCATTCACCAGCTGTGGGCATGTAAGTTACCTCTTAATGTAATTTCTTGAAATGCATAAAATTCCACTTGGCTTATGATTCAGTCTGTTATTCAAAATTTGATGTGTTATCCTTTCTTATCCTCAAAATGATTAGATCGGACACACAGTTTAAAACCAAAATTCACCGCAAAAACACACACACTGGTCTCTACATCCCCTGGAATTCCGTACATGACACCACACAAAAACTTAATACACTT